GAAATTATTAACGTCCACTGACAACACGGTTTGAGCATTCAATTTGTGTCTCATAATGAAACAATAGTAAGAAGGAAAATGGTACCCTTCTGGAAACAGTGCTTTTATAAGTTTTGAAGTCGTATTTTGGAATTTTGAAACCAACTGCCAAATTATTCACTTCTGGATATTAAGTGGAGAAAATTGTGGGTTATCATGACGGACAAAAAAATTCTAGAATAAGAATCATACGCTCATAAACGAAACGACATCTAAAACAAAATCCAACTTTGAATATAGGCGCCGGCGTTTTCACAAATCAGTTTTCATAAAGGGATTCAAAAACTGATTTGTTAGTTTTTTTTCTCCTAAAATAGGCAAATTTCACAAAGAAAATGGTAAACTAGTTAAAAACAATTAATTAAGGGATAGTTTCAGATTTAACCTGAAAATAAAAGTCAAACACCAAACTAACCTTTTTTTTTCTCTCTCCAATTTTTACCATTTTGTCACAATTCTATCCTTCTCACTCAAGATATTAACGAAAATGCCATTATAAACTCATTATTTCGATTTTTTTAAATATTGGCTAAAATCTCCTTAGACCTCCTAAAACATTTTTTTTTACAATAATGTCATCTTCTTCAATACCTTCAACCACCATGAACAACCCAAAAAATTAAATCAATGCTTCTCAACCGATTTTAAAGCTGTAATAAGTTAATATGAGAGCTCATACACTTATAACCTTCCTTATTCTTTTCTAATTTCTTCTCTAAAACTTTTGGGCTGAGTTATAATGTCAAATGTTATGCATTTTTGGTGATTTCAGCTTAATTGAGATCTGGGTTATTTTTTTGGGTGAAATTCAGAGTTCAGGGTGCATGAGAGACCTAAAAACGAACTCAAAACCGATTTAGGTAATGATACAATTTAATTTTGGTAATATCTATATCTGTATCGCGAAAGTATACTTCTTTTTTAAGTCTACTAGTCAACATAAGGTTATTTTTGCAATTGACTTTTTAAAAGTAGACTTCATTAAACTTCACGAGAAGTCTACTCGATATCCTTTGAAAACAAAAAAAACTAGTAGACTTCGTTTGAAGGCTTAAGAAGTCTACAAAAGAAAAGAGGTTATTTTTGTAGTTGACCGTATTTTGACTTTTTAAAATAGACTTCTTTCTAAAGTCTACAGTTTACGTCTGCACAAGAAATCTACTTTTAAGTTACTTTTGTAGTTTGACCAAAAACGTATAGGTCATTTTAGTGTTTGACTAAAAATTTTTAAAAAATAAAAAATACAGAAAACTCTGGAAAACTGCAGTAGACTTCAGAAAGAAGTCTAAAAATGGTAGACTTCTTGCGGAAGTCTACTTCTGCTTTCCGGTCAAACTTAGAAGGAATCTTTTTTTAAGTAGACTTCCCTGTGAAGTCTACTAAAGATAGTCAATTGCAAAAATAACCTAAATTTTTCGGTAGACTTCTATTGAAAAAGTAGACTTCAAAAGTAGACTGTCAGAGAAATCTACTCTTACTTGAAGTCTACTATAGAAGTCTACTTTGTTAGTCAATGACTCGGTCAAATGCTAAAGTAATATTTTTGGTCGGAAGTCTACTTTTGAAGTCTACTGAAGGAAAAGTCAACGGTTTAGTCAATTGCAAAAATAATCTGTTTTTACGTAGACTTCTTTCGCAGACTTTTCATGGGAAAAAATATACTTCTCCTTCAGTCTACGTTTGAAGTCTGTTGTAGAAGTCTACTTATTACATTTTTTATAAATTAAGGAAATTTATAAAGTATTTTTTCAATTTTTTTTATTAGAAATGTTTGTTAATAAGTGATTGAACTATCCAGTGAATTTCATTTCATTTCATTCGATATTTATTGTGGAATCAGAATTTTTGATTTTTAAGCTACTTAGCTTATCAAAGTAGACTTTGTGGTTTAGTCTACGTTTGAAGTCTGTATTAGAAGTCTACTTATTGTATTTATTTTAAAAACGTTTTTTGGTACATTTATAAAGTATTTTTTTCAATTTTTTGGTTTTAAAATGCTTGTTAGCAAGCGATTTAACTACTCAATGATTTTCATTTCATTTAAGTCGATATTTATTGCGGAATCAGATTTTTTTAATTTTTAAGTTAGTTAGCTTATCAAAGTAGACTTCTCTAGCAGTCTATGGATGAAGTCTAATTGAGAAGTCTACTTTTTGTATTTATTTTAAAAAGGTTTTTCAAAAATATTTAATTTTTTTTTTTTTAATTTTTAGGTTTGGACATGCATGTTAGCAAGTGGTTAAACTACTTAATGATTTTTATTTGATTTAAGTCGATATTTATTCTGGAATCGTATTTTTTTATTTATAAGCTAATTAGCTTGTAAAAGTAGACTTCTCATGTAGTCTACAAAGTCTTCAAACGAAGTTTTCTATGTAAAAACATTTGATATATGTGTTTGCTACAATGTGATTTGTAATTACGTCTGCTATTGAGATTTTTTCTTACAAAACTACCTATGAGTTTAATATGTTTATGTGTTATAATTATGGTTCAATTTTTCTTGTTCTATTAGACTTACAAAAATTTTCAACCCTACCATCTATTTGTATTTCATAATTGTTGAAGTCTATGAAATTTGGTTGTATTCATTTGAAAAAAATATTGTCAAATGAAAATCTGATTTTGAATTGTTTGAGTTTGCTCAGTTTGAATTGTGACAGAATTTTTAGTATTGTTTTGATTCAAAGGTTCCTTTGGAATCATTAAATTTCTGGTACATTGAAAAAAAGGTACAACTTCTCCTTTTCTATAATCACAAAATGAAAAAAAATGAGTAGTACAAAATAGATCTCAAATTCACATTACATAAACTGACCTAAATTTTCCAAACCAAAAACATCGATTAGAATGAAAAACAATGACCATAACTAAGAAGACAACCAAGAACAAAACTGAGAGTGAAAGTGAAACAAAGTTCACTCCCAAAGACTTTAGTACCCAGAGACTCTAACCTCTTCTCTCTCCCCTGTATATATACAATTTAAACATCTCACAATCTAGAGGCTATCACAAGCACAATCCAGAACCCAGAAAAATTGAAGAAAAGCCCAAATCGTTAAAGGTACCAAAAACAGTTATCAGTCTTTTTAACCGGAGAAGTGAAGATCCATGTGAAACCAAAGGGATCTGTCACTCTCCCCTTGACTCCACCGCCAGCTTCAACCTCCGATATGTCCTCCACTTTCGCAGCTTCGGCAGCAACAGTAGCTTCGACGTCTTCGCACTGATAAAAATAAATAAAACCAACTCAATAGTGTTCTCCAAAATCCATTAAAACAAGTTAAAATCCAGATCTAGAAAGAAATCAAATGATAAAACAAGTAAAACCTTAAAAAAAATTGAGAAAACACGAAGATCCAGACGCCAAATATGGAGAGAGAAAGAGAGAGAGAGCTTACGTAGAACCAGAGTTAAGGGAGACGTTGCAAACAACGATGGTAGCACCAGCGAGCTTGAGCTCAGCAGAGAGAAGGTGAGGGATCTCCAATGGTGCGAGATGCGTCAGACATGGCTAGCTGGATAGTGAGAAGAGAGGCGAGAGAGGCGAGAGAGGCGAGAGAGGCTAGAGAGGCGAGAGAGGCGAGAGAGGCGAGAGTTTTTTTTTTCATTAAAAAGTTAGGGTTACATCTTATTTATATATGAGAAAAAATCTTGGATAAATCTTTTTGGTTATATTACGGTTTATATATCGGTTTGAACAATTTTTAATGGTTAGAATAACTTTTTCGGTTTAATTTTGGTTTAATTTTTGGTAAAATTATTTTATTCGATTTAGCAGACTTCCATATAGAAGTCTACAACTTTTAAAACCTAAATAATAATTTTTTTCTACTTAATTTAAAAACATAAATTTCCATTTAGCAATATAAAAAAATAATTTCTGTACATTTGGGTTACGATTACGGTATTTATGAATGTAAATTTGATACCAAATTATTTTCTTCTAAATTTTAAAATTAAATTTCCAGATTTAATTACTTAGTAGACTTCATTTCGATAAAATAAGTCTACTATTAGACTTTTTTCTCTCTTTAGTAGACTTCGTCGGTGTGTAAACGGTAATTAGAACATCCGTTTTTTGTTTACTCATACATGATTAAATGGTCTTTTCACTACCTCTTTAAGTTAATTCTGTCAAATGTTTTTTCAGAGATTTACTTTTGTATTCAAAGTCAAGTTTTATGTTATTTTTAGCAAAAACCCCATTAATTAATGTAAAGTTCCACAAAACTATTCCTTTTTGGGTTTTTAAGATCGGCATTGAAAATATAAATATTTGAGACTTTGCTCCAATTCAAAAGGGAAAAAAATTACAAAAAAAAAAAAAAAAAATTTAAAGCCCAAAAAGGATTAGGGTTTATGACTTGCTTTATAAATTACACACAAGACTAGGAGAGTCGTCGAATAAGGGAAACTAATTAGAGATGGTATCGGAGAGAAGAAAAAGAAAGAGAGCTTTGTATTGGATGATACAACGAAGAAGAGTCAAGGTGGGCAAAGTCAATGATGATGATGATGATACTTGTGATGTAGCAAGAAAAAGAAAAAGGTTACAAAGAAGAAAAGAAGAAGATGATGATGATACTTGTGAAGATGTAACAAGAAAAAGAAACATGATAGATGATTTACCTGAGAACATATTGTTGCACGAGATCTTCCCGAGGCTACGTAATCCGAGAGATGTGATTTTTTGTAAAAGCGTGAGCAAGAGATGGAACTCTCTGATATCTTCTTCGTCTTTCGATCACAGCAAGCCGAGCAGCTTGGCTTTGATACTCAACACACAACCCCAGTGTGCTACAAACGAGACACGTTTAGAGGGATGGAAAGGTTTCCGGTTAAGCAACTATGTCGATCCCGAGTTTGATTCTCCGGTTTGTGTTCTAGCCTCCTACAGAGATGTCTTGCTATGCGCAAAATATACATCTCCATGTCGGATCAAGGCGAGATTACAGTTCTACATTGTGAATCCCGTGACAATGCAATGGACCCGACTTCCTAAGACTGACTATGATTACTCCTTGGTCACTCCTGTTATTGGGTTATTAGGGAATGTGTCAGAGGGCAGGTACCATGTTATCAAGCTGTCGGGGTCTACACCGTCTCAGCTTAGACTCCGTGTGTTTGATTCTAAGCGCGGTAAATGGAGAGACCGTTGTATCGAGCATCAGCCTTGGTCACAGTTTGCATGGTGTCCAACCCAATGCCAAGGGTTAGCCTTTAACGGAGCTCTACACTGGTTAGCCCAAGACGGACCTATTGTAGCTTATAACCCTAACTTTAGGAGGAAGGAATGCATATTTATCCACCGTATCCAAGAGATGCGCCATGCTTCTTATGGTGCTGATGCGGTCGTCTCAGAGACCTTAACCGTTTCAGATGGCCATCTACGCATCATTCAGCTCGTCTGCTATCCCCTTATTACGAGTGGTCACCATCTCTCTATTTGGACACTCGTTGACTACAAGCAGTCTATATGGAAACAAGAGCATGATCCTACCTATTTCAGTGACATGGCTTCTGATCTTACATGGATACAAGACTACATGCGGGGATATAAACTGGAGACAGCTTACCAACACAACATCTCCTTTTTCATGAGACCGCATCCTGGCGAAAACAGCAGACAGCAGATCATTTGTCCACAGCCTTTGTATTGCCATCCAAACAATCCTCTTGTCGTTTACTTGTATTTGCCGGAGAGCATTGTCTCGCTTGATGTCGCAACAAAGAAGCTGCGGTTGATTACAAGAGTTAGGAAAAATAGAGTCATGGGCGGCAGTTACTGGAACCGATATGATAAGGTGATACCAATGACACTTGTCTTAGATCCTTCATTGGTCCCGGACCATGAGCGTGTCCTGCTGCCACCGTCGTAGCTGGTAAGATCCATTGGATATTGATCTTAATTTGTGATAGCCAAGAATAGAACTATAACATGTGTGTGTTTTTGTTTCTTTTCTCTCTAATCTAGCATGCATGATCATGATATAAATGTACGTTGTTCCCTTTTTCCCATCTCCACTTACAGCTACTAAAACAAAAACAACAAAAAAGATTTCTTGAACATCACTCAATCAATCACCTTAATTAATTTCTCGTGTACGTTTCACTTTGTTCGATCAGATCAATATGGTGACTCAAGTAATGACAGGAAATAATCCAAAATCAAATTAATTGCTAAATCTCTGACGACCAGAAGACATATATAAATCCTTATTTTAGTTCATGCATCATCTAGATGTAAGAGTGTAAACTTGTATAACACTCATCAAGCTTACATGGGTTTATATACAAGAGGAAGAGCTCAATCACAGAGATTACAAGACACAATTACAGGGATTGCAACAGTTAATGTAGATGACTAATTAAAGGGATTTGATCGATTAGTATGAGGTGATATAAGTTTATCTGATATGGAGGGAGAATTCTTACTTACTAATTAGAGCACTAACTGATGCGAGATGAAGAGTCTTGGAATGCTCTTATTTCAAGACGCATGTTAGAATTAGTGAGAAAAACAAAAAAAAACAAACCTAAAAAACAAGTAAGTTTCGATTTTTCATTGCTTGAGTCTTGACATGGTTTTGTTAACTGAGCTTTTGTGGAACTTAAATTAATTGGACAATTATTCTTAGGAGAAAGATAATATGCAATCAACTAATGTAAATAGTTTTTTCTTATTGTTATAAGAGCTGTATAATTACAAGAGTAGGATGAAAGTAAGGAATCATTTCAATGAATTTGCTCTTTAGTGAGTTTTCAGAGCTTCAAATTTTGAAAGATGCACTAAATGATAAAAATGTGAAAGCTAACAAATGGATTTTCAATTCATCCCACGTTTTTCATTTCTCTACTAAATAATAACGTGATATTATAATTAGACTGTTATACTTTTCAAATGATACCAGTCAACTTGTTTCTTGGTTATCTAGTTTTGGTTTGCATTTTTATTAAAAACTTGAGATATGTTGGACATAAAGATACGCGTATAGTGACATGTACATCTCTTAGTCTTACACTCTTACTGGAGAGTGAAGAGTGCAAAATTGCAAACGAATGATGAATCGTTTCATACCTATCTAAATATCTAATTGTCAGCTATTGAATGCTTTGGGCCTCTAAACGGACCCCATCAGTATTAGAGACTGGCTTTGATTAAAGATCACCAATAATGCAGAAGGAGAGGCGCGTGGGATCCAAACTCGTTGAGCTCGAGTAAGGTATAAGATCGTGGGACCCATTCCTGGATGGTTATGTTTATGGCGCCAAATACCTCTGACCTTTGGTTAACATAATCAAAGAGAATTGGCACTTCTTGCAACAATCTAGTTATGACCATAGATCGTTCTAAACGTACAAACCAACTTTACATTTTACGTTTACATTTTATATAGCAAAGGTTAACATGTACATGCAAACGTAATCTGATAGACTTTAAAATCTGTGACCGAGGAGGGATGTATAATCAGTCTCGGCTCAAACAGCTTTGGCCACAAGTATTGGGACAGTATATGGAATTAGTAAAAAACCAGTCCTCTATAATTCACAAACGCTTTAGCTTTACATGAAATAAACCCAAATCATGTATTAAAAGGATATGGAGTTATCAAGAGATTTTAAGGATACATATATATATATATATGTGTATGATACATGAGTTCCAAAGTTCTGATTTGGATCAACCAAACCCTTCACTGGGGCATTCTTTCAAGTGAATCAAAATTGTTCCCAGAGCTTGAGGGTTCCTTTATATCGGAGACAACCAGAAGATTTTAAGGTGATTTTGGCGGTAACATAAATGTATCACCGATCTCTAATCATCGTCGGTACCAAAATATCGGTCTCCAAACTCACCCATACCGGGAATGACACGGAACTCTTCGTTTAGCCCGTTTTCAATCTCCGATGTCACTATCTTTAATCTTGGAAACTTCTTGCAGACAACATGAACACCTTGAGGTGCCTGGTTAAACCCAAAAAAATAAGAAAGAAAGAATCTTTAGGGGATCATGAGTAATAACGAGGCTGTAAAAAAGATATGTCAAGAGCCATGCGCTGATTCTTAGGCTTATAAGGTTTAGAAATATGATGTTTCCCTCAAATACACCTTTGCTTATAATTAAGAAGATTGATAGCTTGAACAGCTGAGTTTCCTGGAAAATGCAAGTTACAAGACTGAGTTAATACCACTTAACCGAGAAGGAAGATAAGAGTACTTGTAGGTGGAAACCGGAAAAGAAAGGTTGGAAACCTGTGCCGAGGATAGGATCTAACAAGAGGACGTGCCTTTCCGCGATATCATTAGGCAGTTTCTCATAAAGACGCTGTGCAGGACGGTGTGATTAAAGATCTAAACGACGGATCTAGAAAACTGGGACAGACATAGTTGCTTGTCGCCTTCCCTGTGAATTAGGATCTTCCCTATTTTGATACCTTTGCAACAAGCGCGCAACGCATTCTCCATGCTCTCACCACTATGATGATATCAGTAAAGTGTATATGAGAGTGGAATAGGTAAGTATGTAGAAGTTTATCTTGAATAGACTTAAGCTAGTAGAACAAAGTAACTCCTAATCACGGAGACACCACATAACCGTTTACAGAAATCCACACCAGAGTATACAGATCCTGATACAAGGGACCGGAGATATCTCTTAATAGTGGAACAGAACCGCTATACCTCTACATTAATGCTAGTGAATTCACCAAAAGAATTTCTAAAAACATGCTTACCGGTTGGAGTGATGACCTGCATTTCAGTAAAAGGCAGATGTCCAAGACCATGCTCTACAACCTACCAAAAACGCAAACTACCGGGCTATAGCTATTCATATTGTTATACCAAACAAAATACAAAAACAGACTTACTTCAGACGCAGACATTTTTGTCCATAGCTATTCATATTGTTAAAGAAACTACTGGGCTAACCTGATCGAGTACAGTGCCAATATCTCTATCATTTTGGGAAGTATCTCGTTTTATCCTTCTTGCCACGCGCACATCATCCTCTGCAGAGAAAAAGAAAGTCAATTTGAAATTTGCTATATTTCACAAATTTGTCCAGAGAAGAGATGTTATGAAAGATTTAGGACTCGTGGATCATGGAATAAAAGATTTAGGACCTGTATCCACAAAAATCTTCATGTTCATCAATCCTCGGACTCGTGGATCATGGAATAGAAGTATGCCCTCAAGTAATATTACATCCGAAGGGTTTACCTGCCAAATCATTTTCCAAAATCAAAGCATCTTTAACACACATAAGAAGGCATAATATATATCTTGTTACATCTTCAACTAAAATACCATAGTATGGCATTGCTAACTCATAGTCTAAATTTCATACCCAAACAAGCTAACTCCCTTGAAAGCAAACAGTCTAATAGGTCCACTAAACAAAATCTTGTACAGAATCAACTCATTGCTCTTAGCGAGTTGTGAATCTAAAAACCCAGCTTTGCTAAAGCAAAACTGAAAAATAATGCAAAGCTTCTTAGTTCATAATATATATCTTGTTTAATCCTAAACCAGATAGAAGCTAGTGATGACATTAAGGAAAGAACCATCATTACAAGGAGAAACAATGCAAGGAAGTAGGCTTTCTCAAGTATTTTCGATATTTCTTGAAATTATTAACGTCCACTGACAACACGGTTTGAGCCTTCAATTTCTGTCTCATAATGCGCAACAATTGTAAGAAGGAAAATGGTACCCTTCTCGAAACAGTGCTTTTATAAGTTTTGAAGTCGTATTTTGGAATATCCACAGCTTGTCCTTGCCTCAGTTTCTCCATACAAGACAACAAATGGTCTATGTCAAATGCGTCTACAGGAAGACAACGATACCTCATTAGAATCAAGAACACAAAAAACTACCCGAGGATGTGAAGACAGAGAAAAGTATCTGTTCTAATGAGTATACTAGTGGCATTACGAATTCACACCAGTTTATTATAGAATATCAGCAACATCCCAAAGATATACTCACCTCGATGGTCAAAGTTGTATTCATGAACTCTAGCAAGTTCTTCTTCAGTCAAACTATGGTAGAACGAATCCTGCCAAATCATTCACTTCTGGATATTAAGTGGAGCAATTTGTGGGTTATCATGACGGACAAAACAATTCTAGAATAAGAATCATACGCTCATTAACGAAACGACATCTAAAACAAAATCCAACTTTGAATATAGGCGTTTTCATAAAAGTTACTGCTGGTTAATTCTGCTTTACTTTACTTACATTACTCCAGAAACACGGCAATACAGAACTCTGAAACGATGAAACAAAATGTTTACCTGGTTAACAAGTACAACACGCTGATCATGCAATTGCTGAATCATCATATCACAAATAGAAGTCTTTCCCGATGCTGCGCCTCCAGTAACCCCTAACCAACACAAACATCAAACAATGAAATCTCAAATCAAGACCATCCGTCTAAACTTCTCTTTGCCGATTACTCAGTGTAACATTTTTACCAAGCAGAGATACTGGAAAAGCAGAACTGACCTATTACAAAAGGCTGCCTTTGAATGTCTGCTGATGCAGAAGTGGTTTCCTGTAATGAACTCGTTCCATCCCATTCATGTGACCGTTCATGTGGAAACCAGAATAGTGAACTTTGGAAGAAGCTTCTATCATGTCAAAAAAAAAAAAAAAGTTTTCTTGAACATCACAGTTTTAGACTCTTTTGAAGTATTTTAACTAATGTCCTCATTTTCACATGCAAGCTCCCAAAAATAAGCCAATCCACAACAATAATCTTGGTTATAACATGTAAGGGTATAGATCTTGATTCTGCTTTGGAATAGGGCATGAAGTGGAGGACCACACACCATTCCTGGAGTACTAGCACTAACAAAACCCGCTAAAA